ACTAATTAGACATGTCTCCCTCCGGGAGTAGGCTGCGGAATGATGTATTTAACAGAATTAATGCTCGTAATGGAGACCACCTGAGTGTTCGTCGCAGCCTTTGTTCCTCCCTGGCTGTTGCATCGTGAGTTCGGCAGGTTCACAGCCGGACAGGGCCTCTGGTGAACGGAGTCCTGTGTATAAAAAGAAGGAAAATAAAAATGAAAAGAGCGACACACTTGGGAGCCCCTGGTGTGGTCGAGCCGCACTCTGGGTCTGTTGTGGTCGTGCCCCTCCCCCTATGCCCATGGTATCTCCAGAGCGTAATGATGTACGCGGAGAGCTGGTCTTGCAATCATGCGAGGGCTGGGGTTGGGGCCGCATTGCTACGCATGCTCGGAACGTGCCAGGCGGTCTTGATTGGTGTTGCTCCGGGTGCGTTTGGCCGTGTCTGGTCGTTTAACGGCCGGACTCGAAAATTGCCTTAAAAGGTTGCTCTGTACTTCTGCCGCGAGAGCCGCTGTATGTTCCTCCGTTCGGAGGGAGCGCTCTGTATTTCCGTTGACCGTGATGACTCCACGAGGGCCTGGCATCTTGAGCTTGAGGTATGCATAATGCGGCACCGCGTTGAATTTTGCGAACCCGGTTTGTCCAAGCAGAGCATGATAGCCGCTGCGGAACGGGACTATGTCAAAGATTCACTCCTCGCTCCGGAAATTATCCGGGGATCCGAAGACCACTTCCAGTGTGACTGAGCCTGTACAATTGGCCTCAACACCTGGTATGACGCCTTTGAAGGTCGTCTTTGTAGGTTTAATCCTTGAGGGGTCTATGCCCATCTTGCGCACTGTATCCTGATAAAGCAGGTTCAGGCTACTGCCGCCGTCTATCAGGACTCTCGTGAGGTGAAATCCATCGACGATTGGGTCTAAAACCAATGCGGCGAATCCGCCATGGCGGATACTGGTCGGATGGTCTCTTCGATCGAAAGTGATCGGGCAAGAGGACCATGGATTGAACTTCGGGGCGACTAGCTCCATCGCATATACGTCCCTTAGTGCACGCTTCCGCTCCCTCTTGGGTATATTGGTTGCATATATCATGTTTACCGTCCGCACTTGTGGGGGGAAACCCTTCTGTCCTCTATTGTTCGGTGGCCGGGTCTCTTCCTCGTCGTCGCTGTGCAGCCCCTTGTCACTGTTTTCGGCAATTAACTTGCCTGCCTGCTTGAATACCCAACAATCTCTGTTGGTGTGGTTAGCTGGCTTTTCGGGGGTGCCATGTATCTGGCAAGAGCGGTCGAGTATTCGGTCCAAATTGGACGGACCCGGAGTGGTTCTTTTGAATGGCTTCTTCCGTTGACCGGGTTTAGAGCCTCGGAATCCTGCATTGACTGCCGTATCCTCATTGTTATCGCCGTTAACGCAGCGTTTGTTTTTGTTTCGACGCGACCTACCATTGTGGTCCTCGGTATCCGGACTGTCAGCATTTTTGCTGAGGTTGTTGCTTCGAGCTAGCCAGCTATCCTCTCCCGCGCAGAAGCGGGTCATGAGTGATGTGAGGGCTGCCATGGATTTCGGCTTTTCCTGTCCTAGGTGCTGGGCTAGCCACTCGTCGCGGATATTATGTTTGAAGGCTGCGAGGGCCTCTGCATCCGGACAGTCGACGATTTGATTTTTCTTAGTTAAGAACCGTGTCCAGAACTGTCTGGCCGATTCATCTGGCTGCTGAATTATGTGGCTTAGGTCATCGGCGTCTGGTGGTCACACATATGTGCCCTGGAAGTTGTCAAGGAATGCGGCTTCCAGGTCCTCCCAACACCCAATTGACTCTGCAGGCAAGCTGTTAAGCCAATGCCGAGCTGGTCTTTAAGCTTGAGCGGGAGATATTTGATGGCGTGGAGATCGTCGCCGCGGGCCATATGGATATGAAGGAGATAATCCTCGATCCAAACCGCAGGGTCTGTTGTGCCAACGTAGGATTCAATGTTGATGGGTTTAAACCCTTCAGGGATTTGATGATCCATTACTTTGTCTGTGAAGCATAGCGGGTGTGCGGCGCCTCTGTATTGAGCAATATCACGACGTAGCTCAAGAGAGCGTTGTCTGCTGTGTTCGGCCCGGCCGGAGTTGCTGTATCCGGCGCGACGGTATTCGTCGTGGGTCGTGGGGCGCCCACGTGATCCATAGATAGATCTGGATTTCCTTGCCTTGTCCTCCAATATATCCCGCAAGTCCGGCGCGTTCCCTCGTGGCTACGTAGCGATGCCGGGGTACGGTCTTGGTGGAGGGCCTGTGTGCCTCTCTGTCCCGACCACGGGGTGGTCGGTCTGCCGTATTGTGCGCTGGTGATGAAGGTATATATGCTTCCTCCTCTAGTCGGGGGAGCAACTTGCGTTTTGGGTAGCTCTTGGAGGGGCGTTCGAGTTCATACTCTTCGGCCGCGAGGACCTCGGTCCATCTATCGGCCAGCAGGTCTTGATCAGCTTGAAGCTGTTGCTGCTTTTTCTTTAGGCTGTTCGCCGTGGCCATTAGCCTGCGTTTAAAACTCTCTTGTCCGACGGGATCCTCGGGCACGACCAATTCGTCGTCGTTGAGGCTTGCCTCGTCTCCGGAGGGAGGCATGTAATTGTCATCCTCTAACTCCTCGTCTGCCGCTCTCTCTCGAGGGCTGGCTTCCCCGTCCTCCTATGCTGAGTTGTACTGGAGGGGGTTGTCTTCGGCACTTTCTGGGGTGTTATTATCTCCAGTGCCGGAATCTCCATTCTTGCTGTGGCGGGATTTAGAGCGGCGCCGCTGACGTCGGCGCTTGGGCTGTTTCTTTAAGGAATCTGCCTCCGCTGCTTCTTCGCCGTCCCCATCTTTTGGGGTGTCCACCATGTATATGTCATATGACGAGGTGGTCTTCCAGTGCCCTGTAGGCGCTGGTTCTTGATCGTCTCCGGCATCGTCGTCCATACCGTTGATGTCTTCGGAGTCGTAGTCTAGCATGTCGGTTAAATTGTCGACAGTGGCTACAAAGTGGGTGGTGGGTGGGCTTTGAATTTCTTCGGCGTCTGCATCCCAACCATCCTGGCCGTGGTCCGGCCAGGGCTCTCCGGATAACGAGAGATGCTTTAGCGAATTTAGGATGTCGCCAAAGGGTGAGTGCTGAAAGATGTCCGCAGCGGTGAACTTCATGATCGGCGCCCAATCGGATTCGATTGGTAGAGGCGCGGGAGGTTCGGAGTCCGGCAGGGAGTCCGGCACCTTGGAGTCACGAGCTTTGTAAGGGACGAGATCAGTGTTCGGCTCCATCGCCGTGGAAGTTGCAGGTCCCGAGGCGGTGTCCAGCCACCTGTCCTCGATCTGCACGATCGGCTCCGAACTATGGGTCGGAGCGGATTCGTGTGCGGCCTCCAAGGTACTGTCCGGTGGCAGAGTTAGGTCATGCCCATCGAGACAGTGCGGCACGCTCGGCTGCGGCTCGGATCCATCGAAGATCAAGTCTCCGTGGATGTCCGCCGTGAAGTTTAGGCTCCCAAATCTGACCTAGTGGCCAGGGGCGTAGCTTTCGATATGCTCCAGATGGCGAAGTGAATTGGCCCGCAGTGCGAAGCCGCCGAATACGAAGATCTGTCCGGGGAGGAAAGTCTCACCCTGGACGGCGTTGTTGTTGATTGAAGAAGCCATCAAGCATATCGGTGACGACACAGAGGAACTCTCAATGAAAGCACCAATGTCGGTGTCAAAACCGGCGGATCTCGGGTAGGGGGTCCCGAACTGTGCGTCTAGGCGGATGGTAACAGGAGACAAGGGACACAATGTTTTTACCCAGGTTCGGGCCCTCTCGATGGAGGTAAAACCCTACTCCTGCTTGATTGATATTGATGATATGGGTAGTACAAGAGTTGATCTACCACGAGATCAAGGAGGCTAAACCCTAGAAGCTAGCCTATGGTATGATTGTTGTAATGGTTGTTGTGTCCTACGGACTAAAACTCTCCGGTTTATATAGACACCGGGGAGGGCTAGGATTACACAGAGTCGGTTACAATGGTAGGAGATCTACATATCTGTATCACCAAGCTTGCCTTCCACGCCAAGGAAAGTCCCATCCGGACACGGGACGAAGTCTTCAATCTTGTATCTTCATAGTCTTGGAGTCCGGCTGACGATGATAGTCCGGCTGTCCGGACACCCCCTAGTCCAGGACTCCCTCAATCGCCTCCCGAGCAGGGGGAGCGTGATTTTCGGGAGGTAATGACTTTATTTTTAACAGAACGAAACTTCCAAAGAATTTGCAGGTTATCAAGACCATCAGTTGCATTCATACGTGCTCATTACTATGCAAGGAGGGGGCTCGGGCACCCACGGTCTTTGGATGCAATTGATGGGGGTGGTCTCTCTGGCTTTGTAATGCATGAGGCTCATTTCTGTACATTCTTTCTTAATTTGCCCTTGGAGCACCCATGTGTGACCGTTTTTTATTGAACTTTATTGTGATTGAATGATAAACTTTGAAGTGATAAATAAATGTTTGTGTGCATCACTTGATATAGAGGCCAAGGGACATTTCCTCTTTTTGAAAAAAAAAAGCACGTGAACATCGGACAATGACTGCTCAAATACAATACAACCATGAGCTCCAAGAGGATAGTTAGCTTCTTTGTGTGGGTTCAAGTTCTAAACTTACCACCGGTTGCAACCATTTTTCTGTATTTATTCCAAATTTTCCGGTAATGTCCGTTCAGTGGAAGGAGACGGTCCCGTCGACCACAAGATGTCTGTGATGATTTTATCAATCTCAAGATGTTGGTGACAGTATTTTGGACAAGCTAATAGGGATAGCATATACGGGCGCTTATAAGACCGAGTATAGTATATGGGTGTATGTAAGCATCCGTGATTGTATTGTGTTAAATAAAGTTGTTAATCCCGGCCAACAAAATAAGAACCACCAGCTTGTGAGTCCTCATGACATGACACTGCCGCAAATACTAGTAGCCTATTACAGGACATAGAGCTGCTGAAACCGTCGACATGGCACAATTATCTCGCATCCCGGTGGCTCTTCTCCTCGTCCTAGTCGCCGGGGAGGCAGCCGCCACGCCGTACGCCCGCGGCAGGGACGCCCAGCTGGCCAGCAGCTACAGCCGCGTCTTCAGCTTCGGCGACTCGCTTACCGACACGGGGAACGCGGCCATCCTCCCGGCCACCGCCGGGGGGCCCTCCTCCCACGCGCCGTACGGGGAGACCTACTTCCACCACCCCAGCGGCCGGGCGTCCGACGGCCGGCTCATCATCGACTTCATCGGTAACCATTTAGCTACGAATCATTGTTCTTCCGTTGGAGACGCCAGTCGCGCGTTGACCTGTATACATTCCTGACCAACCATCTTCCCAATTTCTGTGGACGCAGTGGAGTCGCTGGGGTTGCCGGAACCAGCTCCCTACCTCGCCGGCGAGACCGCGGATGACTTCCGGCATGGCGCGAACTTCGCGGTGGGCGGCGCGACGGCGCTCGACCCGGCGTTCTTGAAGAGCAGAGGGATAGCGACGTTTGTGCCGGTGTCTCTTAGCAACGAGACGAGCTGGTTCAACAATGTCTTGGAGCTTCTTGCCTCCACGGCGTACGGTAAATATAAAGCAACTTGCTGCTATTGGTAATTGTGCCATGTAGGAGTAGTAACTTATTCAGGGTAGTTGGCTACAGGGAATCTATAGGGCTAGTTGTGGAAAAGTACTTTTTTCTTCTTTAGACTATTGAAGAATTACACTTGGTTCAGCGGGGAAGCAAAAACTTGAGCTGTATAGTCAATTGACTACATAGCTTTTTACAAAAACATCATACGGCAAGCAGAAATTATTCCTGAAAAACACATAAATGCATCCATCTGACTACACAACTCTCACTTGACCACACAAGATTGGATTCCTGGCACCGCCACTGACTTGGTTAGAGTATTTCATAGTTCTTGTCGTGTTTTTAGTTCAAAAGCTATTATATTCTTCAGAAATCGCCTTATAGACATAAATAAATCTTAGATGACTTAGGATTAGTAAAACAGTCAAAGTAACTAATTTTAGTTACAAGTATATGCTAATTATTTTGATAGGGACACTTTACCAGGAACAAAGACATACATCACAGTCGATGCATGCTAATCAGGTGTTAATAAAACTTTATATGGACAGGGTTTGCAGAAACATCAGATGTGACATATGACCCTCTAAATTATTACTCCATCAGTTGACAAATATAAGATGTTTTGGATATTTAATTATGGATTGCATACAAACAAAAATAAGTGAACAAACGCTCTAAAATGTGTCTGTTATGACCGGTCAGGTCTATGGCCGCCGTGGGCCCACTGGGCAGGCTTAAGGCCCAAGTTATCTTAGGTTTATTTTTAGATTATGGTTATATATACTAGTTGTAAAACTATTTTGAGAATCAAGCAATAAGACTATTCTATTGCCCGGCTCCCAGAGGAGCCGGAACCCTAAACCCTAGCCGCCTCCTGCTTGCGCTGCTGCCGCCAATCCGCAAGGACGGCGCCTCGCCGCCGGCCGCCGCGCTCCAGCCCTCGCCCACCTCCCTCCTTCCCCTATAACCTACGCCCTCGGAAAGGCAAAACCCTAGCTCCTAACACCTTGATATCAGGTACCCGGGTTTTGACCATGTCTTCATCGCCTCCAAACCCGCCGCCACCACAGACACCGCTGCCCAGAGCCTCCCCCATCATCGCTGCCACCGATTCCACCAACGCCGCCGCTGCGTCGCCGGGCGCCACCGCCTCCCTCTCGGCGTCGATCTCCCCCGCACTCGGCACCACGCCGGGCCAGGGACAGCCGCAAACCCAGCAACCACCGCCGTCGCCTCCCCCAAAGCCGCAGCAGTTCACACCGGAGGCCATGGCCGGCGTGCTCAACGACTTGGTCGTCGCGGTCCAGGGCATCCGCCTCTACTTGGCTAGCCCGTACGGGCCGCCCCCGCAGCTCCATCCGGCCGTGGCCGCGGGCCAGCAGCCACTGTCGTGGTACTTCATACCCGCGGCCATCACCGGGGGCTATCCGGCGCTCCCCTCACCGGCGTCTTCGACGCCACCGTGGCCACCGTGGCCGCCGCCGCCGCTTGCGGCGCCACCCGCGCCGCCAGCCGCCGCCCTGGGGCCGCAGTGGCCGACCTGGGCTGCGTCGCCCGTGCCGGCCCCAGCCGCACCATCCCTTCCAGCTGCCACCGTGCAGGTGCCACCACCGCCACCGCCCAGCCCTAGCTTGGGCCGTTCCTCGCCGAGCGGCCTCCCGATCCAGGAGGTCCGCTTTCCATCTTCACCGTCTCTGCTGCCAGGCTGGCTCTACGGGACGTCATCTACGCCGGCCTACACGGAGGCCCGGCCGCCGTCGGCGTCCCAGTTGCAGCCCGGGGCGTCGGGCGCCACAGGGAACTACGCCGACCTCCCCACCATGGACCGAGCGCCTTCATCAGCCCTCCGCACCGCCGAGGCAGTGGGCCATGGCGCGCCACACCAGCAGCCGCCTCGGTTCGCGAAGATCGACTTCGCCACCTACGACGGTTCGGACGACCCGCTTAACTGGTTAAACCAGTGTGACCAGTTCTTCCGGGGGCAGCGGACACCGGCGTCCGAGCGGACTTGGCTCGCGTCCTACCACCTTTGGGGCGCCGCCCAGACCTGGTACTACGCTCTCGATAAGGATGAGGGCGGCATGCCTCCCTGGGATCGTTTTCGCGAGCTGTGTCTCCTTCGTTTCGGACCACCACGGCGCGGCAGCCGCTTGTCCGAGCTGGGCCGCCTACCCTTCACCTCCACGGTCCAGGATTTCGCCGACCGCTTCCAGGCTCTGGCGTGTCACGCACCGGGGGTGACGGCACTCCAGCGGGCGGAGCTCTTCGTCGGGGGCCTTCCCGACCACATCCGCGTGGACGTCGAGATGAAGGGGCCCCAGGACCTACAGACGGCCATGTACTACGCTAGGGCGTTCGAGCAGCGCGCCCAGGCCTTGACACGACCAGCAGCACCTCGGGGGGGCCGAGTGCCTCCACGACCACCATCGGCCGCGCCCGCTTCTTCAGCCGTCCCACCGGCGACCACTCCGGCCGCGACGCGGCCCTTCCGGCGCCTTTCGCAGGCCGAGCAGCTCGAGCGCCGCCGCCTGGGGCTGTGCTTTAACTGTGATGCACCCTATGCCCCGGGCCATGTCTGCCCGCGCCTCTTCTACTTGGAGACTGTCGACAAGACGGAGGACGTTGTCACCGAGGAGGGACTCGGCGATCCAGCCGCCGAGGTCGCGCCGGCACCCGCACCTGTGCTGGCTATGGCCCTTGTCGTCTCCCTTCACGCATTGGCCGGCATCCGCACTGAGCGGACTATGCTTATCCCGGTCACGATCCACGGCGAGACTCTGGTGGCCCTGTTGGACACGGGATCCACTCATAACTTCCTTCCGGACTCTACTATGCGGCGACTGGCACTACACCCTACGGGCGGGGAGCAGCTGAGCGTCACCGTTGCTAATGGTGACCGCCTCCACTGCCATGGGCTCGCTCGAGACGTCCCCATCACTATCGGTGACGAGCACTTCATCATCACTTGTGCCGGCATCGATTTGGGCTGCTTCGACTTCATCCTCGGCGTCGACTTTTTGCGGACTCTCGGTCCCATCCTGTGGGACTTCGACGCCCTGACGATGACCTTCTGGCGCATGGGCCGCCGCATCCGGTGGGAGGGCGTTGGAGGCACCCCGGCGTCACCCCCACTCTAGCTCACCGCGGCTACCACGGAGGCCGAGCATCCACTGCTGGATCACCTTCTATAGCAGCATGGTGATCTTTTTGAGGAACCCCGGGGCCTTCCGCCGGCCCGGGTCTACGACCATCGTATTCATCTCCTGCCAGATTCGGCTCCTGTGGCAGTACGGCCCTACCTGTACCCTTAGTTGCAGAAGGACGAGTTGGAGCGGCAGTGCGCACTCATGCTTGCCGCGGGCATTATCCGGATATCGACATCACCCTTTACGACACCGGTCCTCCTCGTTCGCAAGTCGGACGGCACCTGGCGCTTCTGCATCGACTACCGTGCCCTTAATGCTCTCACACTTAAGGATAAATTTCCTATCCCAGTGGTCGATGAACTCCTGGATGAGCTACATGGGGCGCGCTTCTTCACCAAGCTGGACCTCCGGTCGGGGTATCATCAGGTGCGCATGCATCCCGACGACATCGCCAAGACGGCGTTACGGACTCATCACGGCCACTTCGAGTTTTTGGTGATGCCCTTTGGCCTCTCCAACGCCCCGGCGACATTCCAGGCCTTGATGAATGATGTCCTTCGACCCTACTTACGTCGGTTTGTGCTCGTTTTCTTTGATGACATTCTTATCTACAGCGCCTCTTGGGCGGAGCACCTCCAGCATGTAGCCATCGTCTTCAACGAGCTTCGGGCGCATCATCTTCATCTTAAGCGCTTAAAGTGCTCGTTCGGGACACCTTCAGTCGCTTACCTCGGCCATGTCATCTCGGCCGAGGGTGTGGCCATGGATGCCGACAAGGTGGCGGCCGTCGCCACCGGGCCGATCCCGCAGTCTCCGCGGGCTCTTCGCGGGTTTCTTGGCCTTGCGGGGTACTACCAGAAGTTCATCCGGGAATTTGACCTCATTGCGGCCCCGCTCACGCGCCTCCTCCGTCGCGACGCCTTCTCTTGGGATGAGGAGGCCACTTCAGCATTCGAGGCCCTCAAGGGGGCCCTTACGACGGGACCCGTACTACAGATGCCGGATTTCGACCTTCCCTTCACCATCGACTGCGACGCCTCCGGTGCGGGGTTTGGTGCGGTCCTGCATCAGGGCGATGGACCCCTCGCCTTCTTCAGCCGCCCCTTTGCTGCACGCCATCTTAAGTTGGCGGCGTATGAGCGTGAGCTTATTGGGTTGGTGCAGGCAGTACGCCACTGGCGGCCCTATCTTTGGGGTCGTTCTTTCCGGATCCGCACGGATCACTACAGCCTCAAGTTCATGCTGGATCAGAGGCTCTCGACGGTTCCTCAGCACCAGTGGATCAGTAAGCTCTTTGGCTTTGATTTCACCGTCGAGTATCGGCCAGGTCGCCTTAACACCATCGTCGACGCCCTGTCCTGGTGTGATGTCGATGTGGACGACGGCGAGGCGGAGGGGGCGGCCTTCTGCATCATCACCGGGCCCTCGTTCGCCCTCTACGCCGACATCCACCGCGCAACCGCGACCGCGGCCGACGCCCTCCTCTTGCAGCAGCAGCTGGCGGCGGGCGAGCTAGACGAGCCCTGGCGCCTCGCCGATGGCCTGCTTCTCCACGTGCGCCGCATCTTCGTTCCAGCGCACGACGATCTTCGTCAGCAGGTGCTGGGTCTCTCCCACTCGGCGGGCCATGAGGGCGTGCAGAAGATGCTCCATCGACTCCGTGCCGACTTCTATGTTCCAGGTGATCGTGCCCTCGTCCGTGATTGGGTGCGGTCTTGTGTGACGTGCCAGCTGTAACGCCCCGGATTCGTTGCGCCAGGTGTCTGCCAGTTATTTGTCGTCGTTGCCATGTCATTTGCTTGCGTGTTGCATTTTGCCATGTCATCATCTGCATTTTATCAT